TCCGTTCTCTCAAAAACTGATATTCTTTACACATTTTTCTCCATATCTCTGAAATGGCTGGACCTGCCTTTGCCAAAAACTAATCAGCACGACTCTTCATCTAAATAAATCGATTTTTTTTGAAATATTCTACTCAAATGGTGTTTCTCTCAACAATTGCTATTTTTGGACTTTTTGATTTTACCCTAAGAAAAGTTAAAAAACAAGTCTGTTACGAATCTGACTAAATATTTTTTTATATGATAACTAACATACAGAATTTGCATTGCTCGTTACACTTTATAAACTTTGATGTGCATATGTCTCATGATCATTTTTGCTCGCCAAATGGCTTTTTTTACTTTTTCTACTAGATCTCCTAAACCGCTAGATCTACTTTCCCAAAAACTCAATCAGTTGTTCATCTTTTAATACAAGAAATTTTTTTGAATTATTAAAATCGGACACTTTGTTCTCCTAAAAACTAAGTGAACGTTTTTGGCACTTTTTGCGCCGTATCTTCGAACCGACTAGACTTGCCTCTGCCAAAAACTAATCAGCACGTCTCCTCAATCAATCAATCAATTACGTTATGTTACGTTACGTTATGTTACAATTAAGCTAAAGTTTTGTCCAGACAAATTTGTGAAACAAGGTTATCAATTAGAATTTTCATTTTAGTGAAAATTTATAAATTATTTTGATTTACAGACGAAGAAACTTATTCAGAAGAAAGCAATCTACCTCAACAACAGTCAGTCAGGAAACCACAACTGCGCTTTCCAATAACGTTGCCAGTCCTACGGAAGGTAAATATTATCTTGAGCTTTTGAATAGCCACAAAAAATTATTAAAATCTATGGAATGATAATTTTATTCTTATAAAATATCCTTTATTATAAAAAACATTGATATTTTCCTTGAAAACAAATTCTATTTTAAATATCATCCTGTATATAAGAGATTTCTAAAAAATTATATTCAAAGCTACACAGAAATAATTATGTTAGCATGATATAGTTTCAAATCTAAATTCAGAAAATTTAAAATTACTTTGATAAATTTATGGCAATACTGCACAATTTAATACTATTTAATTTTCAAATATGCAGTTAATGCAAAATTTGAGCTTCAAAAACGTCGTATAAATTATACATTATAGTAAACATCGTTTTTGGTGCACGAAAAACGAATTGAAATATATAAATAATAAATAAAACTAGCAAATTAACAATTTAAAATTAATTAAATTAAATTAGTTTCTTTAATTATTAACTTCCCGCTGTAGAAGTTTGTTTTCACCAAAGAATTTGATTCGCTAAATCTATATTTCTCGACGGTTCAAGCCATTCTGAATCGAATGAGACCAAATTTGAAAAAAGTATGTGCATGTGTGTGCGTGTATGTGAACATTTTTACCATAAACCAACGTATTCTCAAAAACAGTTGAATCGATATTAAAAACTTAAAAATCATTCAATGAAACTTGATAAGCACTCGCGTCGGTTTGATTATTGATACGATCGGCTGAGCCGTTTTTTGTAATTAGCAGAAAAGTGAAAAATTTTCTGTCCACGTTTTAGCCAAAAATTCTGAATCGATTTTAAAAATTCAAAAAACTATTCGAAAGATATTATTTGAGAGCCGTGTCTGTTAGTTTTGGACAAAGATCGGACGAGTCGTAAACTCGTAATTAACTGCAGAAAAAAATTGTTTGATGAAACTTCTTATGGTTAAAGATATTATAGTCTTGAAGAATATACTAAAATTTTACGTTTTTACGAAAAGTAGTTTAATTTTAAAAATCCACCAAAGATTGAAAAAAACATTATAGTCAAAATTTGTGTCAAAAATTGCTTTTGGAATGTGATGAGTCAAACATTATCAATTTATTAAAATTTAAAATATTGAGCTACATTTTTAGGACATACAAGCACTAGTCTCTGTAATATAATTAATATAATTACAGATAATTTGAATGTGTTTGAGAAAATTCTATTAGAAATCGTTTAGATTTAATTGATAGCGATAACTTCATTTTCGAAATAAATAGTTGAAAATTTCATCTAAATATATAAATCTCAATTTCGGTTGATTAGGTCAATTCTTACACATTTCGGAAAGTCCATGCAACTTGCTTCAAGGCTAAATGCAACTTTCAACTAGTTTATTTATGAACAGCAATCAGCACAAACCATATATTTATGAACAATAGTTAAATAAATACATACGTATTCACAATTGAAAAGTCAGTCAGACATACCTATAGGCGCTCTAAATGGACTGAAAATTGAATCTGATATAGATTTTTAATATAAAACAAGTGATAGATAATGTTAACGCCTTACTCAACCCTGGTCTAATTATATTTTATTACCGTCAGACAGGATAGCGATAATAAACCCTCATCCCTTATTATATAATTTAGAACTATGAAATAATCTTTTTCTATGTCACGCATCCTGTCCCTAAATCTATCATCATACTATTAATCCACTTTTCTAAGAAACTTAATCACCTGTCCCTAAATATATCATCCTGCAATTAATCTATATTTCTAAGAAACTCGGATTACCTGTACCCTGTTTTAATTCTACGTATCATGCAATCACCGACCAATACCTGATCGGTTGATGAATGTAACAGCCACTGATTGGATCCAAAATTGTAAGGGAATGTCGTTAATTCCACAAAATGGGCCAATCAGAAAAATATATAAAATTGTAAAATCTTTATAGTTAGTATTAACTTCAATATCATCTAGTTAACGTCAGTCATAAACTAATACTCAACTAAGCAACAAGTCTTAAATCAACATTCAAAGCAATCATCTAACATATCATCTATAAATCTTAATCTTTCATTCAAATATACAATAATTAAACATTTATTATTATTCTTTTATTCGGTCTGATATAGCCACTGTCTAAGTATATCTGGTCCTTCGACAATATAAATAAAGTGCAAGTGTTTTAATAGAGTTCGGCAGCATCTCGGTAGATCACGGACTTCTTACACACTTTTAATCTATCTCTTAACAACATACTTTTCGATCTATTCGAGCCGAATGGTCAATTTAGTAAACAGATAATTTATGTGCTATCAAACCTACATAGAATATTAAAGAGAATATTATTACTAAATACGCAAATTAATTCTAGCACCTCCACGTAAAGTACAATTCCGCAAGCGTCTTCCAACAACATCCATTGTTCCGGAAACAACGGTGATTCCCCAGGTGAGCGTGACACCACCCGCGATTACCCTGACGACCCCGGTTCACGACCAGCAAGCGCTGACCAGTCTTAGGGAGGCGGAGTCCATCGAGGATTCGGAGAGCGACATCAGAAAACAAAAACTCAGACCCGATGACACGCTGGATAATTATTAAGGCAAAGAGGTGAAGGTATATAATGATATTTTTTGTAATTAGTGATAGTAAAACAAGTAGTCATTAAGTGATAAAGCAAATGGGGTTTCAATCAAATGTTCAAAGTTTGGCACCCCCCTTGTCTGATGTCAAGCTGCAATATACCGCTGGGGCTCTGCGCATTGCTAAAAAATCTCTTTTAGAAAGGCGATCGTGTAGTTGTATCTTAATAGCGTCATTATTAACAATTTGATATATCTCAGATAATATAGACAATCAATGGATAAATGATATTGTTATTAGTATTAAAGTGCCAAATACAGCATATGTAATAGTTCTGATTAATGTAAAAGAACAAAAAAAAGAAAAATTAAAGCAAAAGTTCATGGCTACGGGGCTTTAATCAAATGTTCAAATTTTGATACCTCACTTGCCTGATGTCAAGCTGCATTATACCTGTGGGCATTGCTAAAATATCTCAATTAGAAAGGCGACCGTGTAATTGTATCTTAAAAGCGTTTATTATCAACAATTTGATATATCTCGGATAATATGGACAATCAATGATTTGCCTATAAATGATATTGTTATTAGTATTGAGCAGTGCCAAATACTGCTTATGGAACATTTAATAGTTCTGATTGGTGTAAAGCATTTTTTTTCTATTTCTTGTCTATGATTTTATTCATAGATATGCATATTTATTTTCTGTATTAGTATTATTATAAATTATTTCCTGATTTCATTTTATTTATTAATTTCCCGTAGGGCAAGTTATAGTAATCGCAAAAAAATCGAAAATTAAAATTTTTATATATATTTACGTTTCAGAGGTCTCTGAATATTTTGGCATACCTTAGAAAAAAATGGATGTATGTGTGTGTGTGTGCGTGTGTGTGTGTTCGGATACAAATTTTCGTCGGCTATTTCGAGAACGCCGATCAACTGATTCGAATAATTAAAAAAAACATTTGATTTGTATTGATAAGGAGACGTGCTGATTAGCCGTTCCGAAGATACGAGGCAAAAAGTGCCAAAAACGGTAACTCAGTTTTTAAGAGCAGAGCGTTCGATTTTAATAATTCAAAAAACATTTTACTTATATCGACAATATGAAGAACTCATTAAATTTTTGGGAAGGCAGGTTCAGCGGTTGTCGGCTCTCCATAAGAATTAATTAAATAAATGTCATTTGACGGTCAAAAATGTTTATTGGACATATGTACATCAAATTAACAGATATTTTATAGAGATTTTAATAATGTGTGTACATTTTGTGTAATTTTTTTTGGGTTCCGTAGTAAGATATTTAATTACGGTACGGGAAGTTCCAGCAATTTGCCTTAACGCACGATGCCATGCACCCCACTAGTTTTTATATTTGTTTACTTTCTTTCTTGTAGTAAGCTAAGAGCTTGTCTTAATAGTAGTTATTATAATTAATATATCTTGAGGTTCACTGATTATTTTTCTCTTGTAAATGACACATATTTTTCCTGTACTATATCAAAAAAATTTGTAGACTGGAGCAACTCGAAGTTGATTCGTTTATAATTTCAATTTGATTTAATACTTTTTTGGTGCTTTTGGTTACGTACATCATCTCGTGGGGCTTATTATAACACGTTACAACTTGCCCCAAGATTTTATTACAACTAGCATCAGGTGTATTTTTTTATATTTATCAAGATAGCAATTTAAAAAAATATATAAATTTCAAAATTTATTACACGCTATCGTGATATCGTGTTAAAGTTGAAATGAAATAAGAAATATAAATTTAAAATTAGTCGATAATAACAATGCAATATGATAGCACAATTTTATATTACCTGTCAAAAATGACGTAGCTGCACATTTTTGTATACTACATAGGAACAGTTATGACAAAATGAGGCGGAGGGGTTGTATGTCCGATCGAGATAAATAAATATTTTAATATCAATTAGGAACCTATTGAAAAACTAGTATTACTACTCTGTTACCAAAAGTCCCTAGCTTCCTACCTAATTAATATTACCGTTACTGTAGTTGAAAATTTAAAAACACAAAGATATTTATATTCTGAGATTTTGCAATTAACTGAGAGATGTTGATAAGAATAGGTTTGCAAATGAAATATACAATTTTCATAATACTGAGATTTTACCATTTATTAGATATTGACAGCGCCGAAGGAGTAATAGCGATGGCCATAAGACGACTTGTTCATGCCCCATTACCTCCAAGTAAATTCCTTGAAGACAGTGTACTGACCACACCGAGCTACAGCAAAATTAACCGAGTGAATTATGGTATACAAGAACCTGCTAACATTCCAGGTAATATTGAATTTGTTAACATACCTATGATAATTGCATATAGAGTGCATAGTTTATATTTCTTCTTTTTTTTCTAACGTGTTTCTGATGCACATATTTACTTAGGTTGCTCATACGACTAAGAGGGTGTAATGACCCTTTTAACAGTTCTATGAAACTGAGCCGTAAATTTAAACTTATGCAAACTCAAATTGGTTTTCTGAATTCTTCGTTGTTATGTTATTATCGTTTTATTTAAAATATGCTTATGTAGCGTCTTTCGATTTCATATATAATATGCATATACTACAGATATATTTTTTGCAGATTTATATATTAAGGTTGCAATAAAATTTAAAACTAATGGTGTATGGCATCGTGCCATAAGGAAAATTAGTGAAAATTTTTGTATCAAAAATTTGAAGTGTTCACAGAAAGCTTTAAATTCTTTAAAGCTTTGAAGAATAATAGAATTTTAAGAACTTAATTTACTTAAGTTAATAAAATAATTTGATATCTTTGCATAATACGACATGTTTTTAACTTTGACATTACACAGAAAAATTATGTTCATGTGCAAAACTTATTGATGTTAGGTGAAAACAGGCTCAGTAATGCTAAGGTTTTTTCAGAAAAAGCTGTAATACTAAAAAAAAACAAAGATTTTTATAATATGCATTTTTTCATAATTATATGCATGATCGCTTTCTATTAAATTTGAATTTATAGCATAATCATAAACAAATATATAAACAATTAACTATACTGGTTAAAATTAAACTTTTTGAAAGAAATATACCATTTTTCTAAGACAATGACATTAACGAATGAAACTACACGATTGATTATCAAATTCATCAATACATACACTTTTAAATTCACGTTATAGTATGAGTATCAAAATTTGTCAAAGAAAAATTATCAAAACAATTAAATATTCACAGAAAGCAAACAATTAAATAATTTACTGGTGGTTTAAATTAATTTTGAAATAAACTTATTTAGAGAAATACTCGTATATACATTTCTAAAGCACATTGCTAAGGAACTTTATGATGATTGTCGACGCATTTTTCAAACTCATTTTATTGTCTATATCGATTAATTTGTTACTTCCACTCAAAATTGTTCAAGTTTTAAAGTCGCGTTCTTTTAAAAGAAAGTTCTTAAAATAATTATAATCTTCCCAGTAAGCAAATACTTTTAAACTATTAACTAGGCTCCAAAATTAAATTTGAGACAAATATCACTTTTTGAAGAACATTTTCATGAAACTGTTTTATAAAATTTATTGTTACAGCCAACCACACAATTGCTTATTACAGACATCGATGCATTTGTTTTTCAAACTCAGGGTCCAATTTTCGGATAAAATAATTGTTATGTTACCTGTTTTTTTATCGAAAATGAGAAACCAATTCTCGGGATAAAATAGTTATGTTATGTTAACAGATAATCACATTAGTTGGCAGTAACAAACTAATAAAAAACTAACTAACTACTTTGCTATTTGATAAAGCGTTTTACACAACATTAACTTCTAAAAACTAACCTCAAAATGGCACAAACTTCAGAATATGACTGCCATTTTCAATTCGACTTCACACTATTGCTATTATAAGTGACAATACATTTTGCATTTTTGAGAACATAGTTAATTGCCATTTCTGCCATTTGGAGGTTAGGTTATCTAAACCGTCGAACAAACGGCAAAGACATAGCTTTTTGACAGGTTGTGCTTGTGACTACCTGTGTAAATATAATTTACTTTATCCCGAAAATATGTCTCTCATTTTCTGTATATCAATTAATTATTTTATACTTAAAACTCTATTAATACGCATATTTATTTTTTCAAATTAAAATATATTTTTATAATGCAAATGTCTTCATTGCGTATGTAAAGAGTAACGCAGATTATGCATAAATTATATTACGTTTAATTTTTTTTTCAAAAAATATATCTTTTTTACTCCATTTGCGTACATAAAAATTTAATTATTTATTTATTTATATTTAGATTAATTACTTTCAAATGAATTCTACCGATTTGAAAAATCCATTTCTCTTTTAGCCGTCTTAACGTTTTCAACAACTGCTAGGCCAATAATGAGGACGCCACTGGAATCGAGTATTTATTACAGAGAACCCCAACCTTTTTCACTAACACCCAGCACACCGAGGTATATAGCTCAGTGAGTAATATTTAACACTACTAACTATTTTGGGTGGATGACTTGGAATTAATAACTTTATGTATGTTATGAAAAAGAAATAATGATTAATGAACTTGGTTTTGGAAAGGTACGTATGTTTACTTTAATAGAATGTAAAAAGGATGATGTGACTAAGAATTTTCTGATGAAAAATATATATCAATTTCCATATGATTTGAAAATGCTGTTAACAAGCAATGTGTTTTAACATTTTTTGGTATGTAATGTTACATAATTTTCATAATTGAATATTATTTAATTTTATTCAGTAGCCTAGATACAATAATTTGTTAATCATCATACATCAAAACCATTTTTAAGAAATTTTGTTCATCAGGCTGACCTGATAGTATTTAAAAAAAATGTGATGACATCATCTAACTAAATGTTTGTCACTAAAATGACTAAATCTTTACTAATATGAAAAAATATAACATATGCAAATATGTTAAATGTCCATCATTATACACGACAAACAAATTTTGCACCTATATTTTCATCACATTATCTCATCTTGAAATTATATGCTATAAATGTAAGTCGCATCTATAGAATTTTGATTACTCATTCTGAAATTTGTATTCGATTTGATTGATTGTAATGATTATATATAATTAAGAATCAAGTAATTGAAAAATTAGTAGAAAAAATTGCGTTTGCAATTGTGCTGATTAATTTTGGGTAAAGATCGGCCGGAATGTTTCTTTGTGATTAATTGTTGAAGATTCTAAATAAACTTTGTCTAAACGAACAACGCAAAATATTATAGGGTTATGTAGAGTGTATTAATTATATTTGTTAATTATTTTAAATATTTTATTGAAACGCTTTTATACCATATAGCATATACAGTATATTTTTTATCTTTGTTCTGAACACTGTTGATACTTACCAAGTATTTACCTAAACTACATTTATAGAATGAAGGTAGAATGAAATGCATTAAATGAGCCAAATTTATTTAAAACAATTACATATATACTATATATATAGGTTTGATTCAAAGTTATTATTTGCAAATCGCATTGGTTAGTTATTGTAAAAAAAAATTGTGTCGTCAAAGTTGCAAAATATGAAGTATCAGTGATGAAGGAACCAATATTTCGATTGAATAGACCGTAACATTGTGTTGCCATAACAACGCTATGTTACGTACCTTTTTTCCTATAAATTGGCAGTAAAAACTGACAAAACGCTAAGTATTTAGTACAAATAATCGCGAAAAAATGAATGTTATTATAACTACATCCTTCTAATTTGCATTCATCCCATATACTTGAAATTAGTATTGTTCGGACGTATTTTCGTTTTATTATATTGGCCATGAAAGTGACAACCCTCATGGCATTGAGCTTTTACATGGAATGGTTGCTATTCCTGGTAGAGGGGGTAGCAGAGTGTTTTGATGGAGCTAATTGTTTACTTTTAAAAGTGAAGTCCGCGAAACAACATGTTTAATAAATAATAAATCAATATATCTTCTTTTATTATAACTTAGTGACAAATCCGTGATTGTAATAAGAACTGCAAAAAATACATAATATAACAACAAATCAGTGTTTAATACAGACCACAGCTACAAGGGTCAAATTATAACCCAACAACCTGAGTTAACAAAGGAGAGTTTTAATAAAGTGCATAACTACGTAACGCAAATATAAGTATTATATCGATTTTTAGCCGAATTGGCCCTTGAGTCGATTATTTACACATATCGGTCCATGCTACTTGTCTTAAGATAAACTTTCACTTACCTCTAGTTTTAATCATTTTTTCAAGTTTAAATAATATTATCAAACAATTGTAAACAAAATAGATTTTTTTGTATGCCAATCAATGGATGTACAATTTTAATTCGATTTACTAATATTTTCTTGAATATTACAATATATAAATGCTTAATTTTATATAATCCGGAGTACTATCATATCACAACACACGAAAATTCATTCTTACATCACAAAGAACAAAATAATTTATAAGATCATTCATGTATCTATGACATAATCACTCAATTTTTACTATAATCAGCACTAAATTCAATTAATTAAATATTCAATTAATTTATTATTTCACCAGGCGTCCAGTTTACGATTATGATTATCCAGATATACATCCAATTCGTTTTGAACATTCTCAACCACAATACAAAGGGTTGAAAAATGGAGTACTTGTCCATTCAACTGGTGCTCTGGAATGTCTCGACCAGGGGACGTTTCCTCATCCAGCCAGTTGCAGGAGATTTGTGGTCTGCTCCAGGATGCAAAGAGGTAAATAATTGATAATTCTTTGCTAATTGATTTAATTGGAACTTGGATCTACTTGGATCTATTGGAAAAACTAGATCTACAAACCTAAAACTATAACTGTTATGCATTGCTAACTTTATACAAACTATAGTAACTTTAGCTGTACTTTATACAAATATTAGTAACGATAAACCTATACTTTATACAAACTTTAATGACTTTACAAATTTATTTTCCTATTTTATCAGTAAAACTAATTCATGATCTTTTGTGTTACCACTTTTGTCGAGTTTTTATGATCAGTAAGTAAATAATCTACCACCTCGATATAAGCTGACCAGTAAATCATGACAAAATAAGAATATAATTGATAACAATATCACAAAAAAACAAAAATGTAAAGTTACTAAATATAGTATTTATATTATTATTTTTTCGAAGTAATATTTTCACGATTTATTATCCTTCAACAGGTCCTTTGGTCGGTTGGCAATACACATGTCCTAAAGGATTAAGCTACGATCCAGTTGGAGGAATTTGTAATTGGGCTGCAGGATTAGGTTGTAAGGATTAATCTACAGAGAAAATGAGAGTGAATGGTGAATGTTTTTTTACTTATGTGAGCAGAATGAATTTGAAAACAAATCTATTAGATAAAATTCACACACGTATCGAACCATTGCCACTGAACAATTATTTTGAAAATGTGATTGAATGTTGTATTTTATATCTGTTCAACATTTACGAGTGCGTACTTATTTTTATTTTTAATCTGAATCTGATTATAATTTTTTCTGAAGACCCTTTCAAATACTAGACTAATACTGACACATTATATTCGAGTAGCATTTTTTAGATTATAATACCCTAAAGATTTTGACAACTTTAAGCAAAATAATTTTTTTTTATAAGAACCTAAATTAATTTGTTTAACATTACTCTGAATTCTAGTAGATATTTTTTTTATTAAAGATGCTTCCAAGTATATATTATGGACATATTAAATTTTATCAGTGTTGCTTAGACTACATTTTTTAAACATTTTGATATCGAAAATTGAATTCGATAAGTTAATCACAAGGCTTATCTAATTATATATTTGGACAGAATTTCCATAAATAATTTCTTTGTTCAATTTGACGGTTGTGCTTGCAACACTTTATTAATGTTTTGATATAACTGATTTTGCTAATTAGGCGGATTTAATTAAAAATCAATACTTTGAAATTCATTGATGATTTTATTAGACATTTTTGATACACTTTTTTGTTTATGTATAAAGAGTTATGACACACTTAATCAAAATGGAGCTAATTCCCTCCAATATTACTTCAAAGACTTTTGGAGTGTTTTGTGAGTGAGATAGTTCACTTTTTCATAAAAATCTGAATTATTTTGTTCAACATTACTTTAATGTCCCTTTGTGTATTTTGTGAGATGAATATTCACTTTTTATGAAAATCTGAACTAGTTTAATAAACACTACTTTACAGTCTTTTAGTGTGTTTTGTTAAAAACATATTTTCTTATAAAATTTGAATTAATTTGTTCAAAAGTACTTGAAAATTTTTTGTGTGTTTTATGATAAAAATAATTTAATATTTCATAAAAATCAGAATTAATTTTGTTAACACTACATTAAAGTCTTTTTGTGTGTTTCGTGGACAAAATGCTTTAATTTTGAATAAAAAATTAACTTAAATCGAAAAATTTAAATTACTACAAACCTTAAAAAAGACAAAATATACAGAGAATCCCAGAACTCAATATCAAGCCAGGAAAAAAAATTCAAAGTAGTTGTAAACTTATGAGCTTTCGCGTGAAACCTAGAAATTTGGTGAAACTGTGATAATTTTTTTATTATTATGGTTAATTTTTATCGTAATTTATATTTAATCGTAAATAACATTTTAGGACCAGCTTAAATGCACAAAATTAACCACAGTAACCGATGTATGGTCACAGTTTGATCAAAGCTCTGGGTTGCACTTAAAAGCTCATAACCACGTGAGATATTTTTTTATCATATTTATTTTATTTATTTTATTATAGTTGATTTCAATACTAGCACTCTGTTTTAGCTTGACGTTCGGTTCTGTAACACTCTGTATTTAAGATATAATTAATTAAAATTTGCATAGTTATTTCATATTGTTGGTTCAGACCATGGGCTTAGTAAATTTTCCAAAATGAATTATTAATATAAAATTAATGAATATTTGTTCAAAGTTTCTAAATTAATTCTGTTTCGGCTTGACATTGAGTCTGGGATACCCTGTAAATTTCGTCCTTTTTAATATTTGTGGTTATTCAAATTTGTCATTTTAAGTTCAAATTTAATTTAATTTTGTTCACGAAACGAATAAATATAACGTATAACGTGTGTCATTAGCGTTTCAGTTGTTCAAAATAAATATTGCTCGAAGTTTGTATGTACGATATGTTACTCAAATAGATATAATATTTTGCCAGAATGATATTTACATAGATTTCTATAATTTTACCATAAGATTCATAAGAATTTCCTTCATTTCATACATTTTTCGACTGAATTACATCAATGTAAACACATGCCGTCCTCTATCCGCAAACGCATGTAATCATTCAGTAAGGTTCGTACATCAGAATGATTTTATTCCGATTGCCGGGCCAATTCTTCGGTTAAATGGACCATAACATACCGTTGTTATGGCAACGCTTTGTTTATATAAAATGGTACTAAGAATGTCAAAATGGCGTTTTACATATAAAACCTAAGTTCACAGATGTGTTGAATGCACATCATAAAGATGCAGTTATGACAACATTCTCCTTCACAGAAAACACATATCGTTTCGACAGTTCTTAGTACCATTTTATATAAAGAAAATGGCAATATGGGATCGTTCAAGTACTACGTAAGCAGATTTATTACAATTATTCACCCCCCCCCCATCCCTCTTGTCAGCAAAAGTAAGCGAAGCTATTACGCCCTACCCCCATGCTTACGTAAACATTTTGTATTAATGTAAAAAAATAAAAACACTACCTATCACGTAATCATCATCCAGACTCACCTGCCCCCAATGACAACCCAAAACTAGTGGGGTGGGTGGCATCGTGCCTTAAGGCAAATTGCTGGAACTTCCCGTACCGTAACGAAATGTTTGAGGATTACGAAATGATTTCAAATAGAATATTATAAATATGTAACATTGTCTAATATTTATAAATATTATATAAACTGAATTGCAGAGTTGAAATTATTTGTTTAAAGTATATTAGAACTATAGTCAGAATTAAAAATAAATATTTTCGACAAAAACTAAAAAAAAAAAAAAAAAAGAAAGGGACAATTTTTTTTTCCAAAATCGATTATTTTGTTAAGACAAGCAGAAAGTTTTTTGAATCATTTAAATCGGACGCTTAGTTCTCTCAAAAACTGCCATTTTTTACATATTTAGCTCCGTATCTTCAAAATGGCTGGGCCTGCCTTTGCCAAAAACTAATAAACACTTCTCCCAATCATTACTAATTGAATGTTTTTTAGATCATTCAAATCGGATACTCCGTTCTCTCAAAAATTCGATTTCTATTTTCTGCACTCTTTGCTCCGTATCTCCGAAACGGCCGGACCTGCCTTTGCCAAAAACTAATCAGCTCTTTTCCCTATCAATAGAAATCGGATGTTTTTTGAACCATACAAATCGGTTGATCCGTGCGCCCTAAAACGTGACTGGAAATTTGTATCCACACATACATACACACACACACACACACACACACACACACACATCCATTTTTTCTGAGGTATGCCAAAACGTTCAGAAACCTTCGAAACGTCGAGAAATGTAAAAATTTTCAATTCCGATTTTCGGCCCATTACAATAACTTACCCTACGGGAAGTTAATAAGCAAATCAACAACCCCCCGCCCCCCTATAGTGCTTACGTAATACCTTATGGTGTTATTTTGGAAACGCTAAATTTTACTGAAAAATTGTCCTTTCTGTTTAATATTATTTAAACAATTATTATTTTGAATATATATGCATTTAGAGTATAACCTACTATAGTCAATAATTAAGATCGTAGTTCATTTTAATTCATCTATCATTAAACAACATAAGATTACATATGTATATAATTTCATAAATAAGAAAATTTCATATATCATGAACACGTCTATTATCATAGGCAACGTTCAAGGCACTAATTGGAGCCAAAGGTATATTAAAATATATTTTAGATGAGAAAATAATATTAATTTTAAGCAATATTTTTTATTATGATATTTTTAGTTTTTAATCGAAATCATAAGTAATTTGGAATTTATTTGTATGTACTTAAATTGACCATTGGTATCACGGATTAGCCATACAAAATACTTTAATACATGTTATTTATGTATGTGGATATATTTATTTTTAATAAAGATCTTTTTATTAAAATTATATAATAATTATTTTTATTATATACAATTATGAACAAAACGATTTTACACAGACATCTATCTAAATAAAAAAACTAAGTTGTCTAAAAATAATTAATAAATCTGTCGTAAGTTTTGAGTCTCAGTTTGACTCTCAGTACAGTGTATACAACTACAAAACTTAATAAAAATAATATAAAAGTATTTGAAATTTAGAAAATAATTTCGAAAATTAAAATATGTTTATAATTTTTCAAAATTTCAATACAGACGGATTCTTCGTCTAATTATTTAACTTAACTAATTATTTTTTGCATACCGTCAACACAAACAAAATATTTTTTGAGTTATTCTAAACAGATGATCCGTTCTCTCAAAAACTACATGACCAGTTTTGTACTCTTTGCACGTACTTCCAAGATAGCTGGACCTGTCTTCCACATAAATTAATCCATTACGTGTTTAGTACGAAGAGAATCTTTTCTGAATCATTCAAATCTGTTAAGCGGTCCTTTCAAAATTGTCGGCGAAAAATTGTATCCGCTCATACACATATTCGAATACGCACACACACGTACTACACACATGCACACAAATCGATTTTTTCTAAGGTATGCCAAAATGTTCAGAAACCTTTGAAACGTAATGGTATATAAAAAAAAATATTTTCGAGTTTTTTTGCGAATTCTATAACTTTTTAAATGTCAAATTGTTCAGGAAGTCTTGAAACATGAATGTAACTATTTCCTTACAGATTGGTTTTTGTACAGCTTCTGAAAATATTTTCAAAACGAAATGTTTTATGGAATTTTTGTAAAAAATTTCAAACCGAAAGTGATTTTGGACAAGAAATTATCACGTTTCATTCCGTACTCTATATCTATTTTATTGCTAATTTATTTATACCATCATTTAAATGCACCTTCGATATGTTTCGTATTATAGAAACACTAAAAAATGCTAGTAAACTAGCTGTAAGTGGCATTTTTCCCTGAGGCAACTTGCATGGACTTTTCGACATGTGTAAATAATAGACATGTGTCTATTCTAGATTTATAAGAATACCGAATTCGTATAGAGCAACATAATGTGTGAAACTTATTGCAGATCATTCCATTTGTTCATTGCACATTATTGAAAATATCTAAATGCGCAGCTGATTAATTCAAATTTATATTAGTTCTTACAATTGAACTACTTTTTATAGGGCTATAATATTTTAGCATTTTCATTAAAACCATGCACTCGTTTGCCATACAAAAATTCATTAAATTCCTCGAGGTAAATATTTTACCAATATATTAAAATAAGAAATAAACAATAAATAAACAAAATAAACAACAAGAAATAGCCTGGCCTATCTCTAAGACTAGTTATCACGATT